CTTTTCAATATTAAGTTTACTTAGCACCATGTCTGCACCAAAGTCAATCATAAGTACATTTAGCTTTAACCAGAGGATGTAGTCCCTGTTTAAGGGCTAGTTATGATTGCCATTAGACTCTATGCAAACATACTACTACACCAACATTACTGTTGAAAAGGGAGAAGAAAATTCACACAAGACAGATGGGAGAAAACCCACTGGCATTCCATATTTCCAGTGGAACCTAAGTTAAGAAATGAGGAAGCGCAAGTCTGCACCAAGCCTCCATGTATTAGCTAAATCTGAAGAAGAATATAGGGCATAAAGTATGAAATACGCTGTCAAAGTTATCTGAAGGTATATTTTCCTATCTTCCTTATGATCATTGAGTTTATGGAGCTATTAAAACATTGGCATGAGAGATCCTCATGAGGACTTCCCTCCACCCAAAGTACTCATCTACAAATAAAAATAAACCTTTAAGAACAATCTGGTTTTTTTTCCTCCTCTGGTGGGAATAAAGGCAAAATTGCCTATGCTGAAAATGGGAGTTGTGCCTCCTGGGATTTTTATTCTGATGTTAAAAGGAAAGCAGTTGTTCTGTAGAAAATTGTTTGTTTCTCTAGCATCAAGGAAAAAATGATTTTTTCAAAAGGCATTTAAAAGAAATGCACATCATTTAAGGTCGAGTCAACTATTATATAAAGCTTTTTGCAAAAAGAATAACTTCACTTAGATGTGCTAATAAATAGTGCTCGATACTGGCATTTTTCTGGCTTTCCAGAAATTGCTTCGGGTATGAAGTTTTGTCAGATTGCAGTAGGATGTGAATTCTTCCTCACCTACAAAGTTGTATTTTGCTAATTAGAATAAAAGGGAAGATTTACTTACTGGGCAAGTTTGTGTGATGCAATAACCCAGAGATTGCTTATAAACCATCCATGAGGCCATTAGGCCTTGGGCCCACTGACATGCCTCACAAGTGATCACACAAAGTCGGGTTTAGGCCAACCCTCCCCTCCCCTACCCCAAGATTGTGAACCTGTGTGTGTGTGTGTGTATGCGTGTTTTGTAATTTCTGTTCCCATTTCTGCCAGCCACAAGCTGGCAATACCCAGAAAGGAACTGCAGTGATACATTGAGGGGTTGCCTATGGATGCCCTTTCAAAAGAAAAAAGCTTGAAGTCTGCTATTGAGCAGAAAGAAGTGCATTTCAAAATAAAAAACAAAACCTTTGACTGTCCTGCTTGTGCAAATGATGCCGGCAGGCTTAGTGCAAAGAGAACCCTGAGGGTGCTTGCTGGTAAAACCCACAACCTCCACTCCTCCAGCATGGGGTACGGTGCCCCCCACTACACAAACACACATGACTTTGCAAGTAGATGGCAACCTTGACAGGTCCTAAACTGCTGTCACTTTGCAAAGTAAAGCTTCAGGAGACACATTCTGTAAAAAGGGGCTCTTTCCCCCTTTTGCAGTACAGTTCCCTGCTTTCTTTTGGGGAAAACAGGTGTCCCTTGTGACTCACTGATATTGGACCTTCTCCCTCATTTGTGCCCTGAACCATCTGAACATGCATTCTACAGTGTATAATGAAAGGGACACCCCTGGACTGCAAGCCAAATAAAGCCACTCAAAGACACCCTTCCACCACCCCTACTGGCTGAATCTGTGGTATTATCTCCAATCGGTGAACAGAGGTAACTTTGCTAGAGGCAGTCCTGTCTCCTGATGTCTTTCAGACCATGGAAGACACTGCACCTTTGATGAGCCATTTTCAGCTTCAGTTCCAGTTAAACTGTCTGGTCAGCTTTTGTAGGAAACACACTTTTCCCCCCTGAGGTTGTATTGTGACAAGCAAGACCTGAACCACAAACACAGTGCTTTACAAGCATCTGCATGAACCTGTTTAAAAAGAATATTCTTTCCACAAAGAATGGCATTAAAAGAAAGAAAAAACTTATTTGAAGGAAACAGGTTTACTGGTAATCCTAATAGGCCTATGGCACCAGATAAAGGCATAGCCGGCATTTGTTGGTTTGTAGTCAGAAATCTTGGTGGCTGCTCAGTATGCTATTCAGATACAATTGGTTTAATCTCCTTTCTTTAAATCTGAAAATGTTGCAGCCTATGCCTGGTTCATTGAAGTAATGCTTACATCTTGCACACAACTCAGAAATGGCATCTATACACATTTCAGAAGGATGCCAAAAGTACTTTCCACCTGTTTCAGGAAGGACGAATGGTATTGATAAATGATCTGCAACAAGTCATTAGCAATTCAAAATATGTCCCAAGTGGAAATACCCTTACAAATGTTTCATGTTTCAGTGCCTAGTAAATCAAGAATAATTTGTAAAATCTAAGGACTTTGATCATAGCTTCATGTCCACGTTTGTATTCACACATTTCTACAACTGCTGTTTGAAAGAAAATAACAGTATTTGAATTCTTATGGGAGAAATGTTCTACCAATAAAGTCAAGCCCTAAATTGTATTATTTAAATATTAAATATTAATTAAAATATTTAAAAAATGAAACTTGTATTCTGGGAAAAAAATTGCAGCCTGAATAAATTAATGAATAATTGCAGCTTAAAAATTCAAAGCATTATAATATGTTATATATACTTCTATATAATTATGAATTGTCTTTCTGCTCACAAGAGGGCATAAGACAGCATGCAACTTTAAATACAGTATATTTAAAATATAACTAAATTAAAATATCACAGCCATCTTTAAATCAAACCAAACAGAAGGTTAAAAAACCTATCAAAAGCTGGGTAGAACAGAGCTGTTTTTTTGCAGTCCACATAAACCTAGGCAAAATGGAGCTACCCCGACTTCCTCAAAAACAAACTTTCCCAAATGGAGTACAGCTATGGGGAAACCTCCGTCAGATGTACCCATCAAATGGACATTTCTTGGTGATGGGATATTCAAGAAGGCCACTGAAGAAAACCATAATTTATAGACCAAGTTGGATGAGAAGAGGCAATCTTTCAGCTATTCTGGACCAAAACCATTGAGGTATTGATAGACAGCACCTTGGGACATTGGCCTTATACTGAGTCAGACTGTCAGTCCATCCAGCCCAGTACGCTCAAGATGGACTTTTCAGAAGGATTTTTTTCTAGTCATGTTATTGTGGAATTAAACTTGGTAATAACATTGAAAACAAATTCTACAGAATGCACAGAGAGTATCATTCTATAATGTAGTACATGGTCTTCCATACAAGTTCTTCATCTTACAGTTTTTGAATAACAAACATCTTATCTTAAATCTTAAAAAGTGTTTCACTCATATTTCTTAGGGGATTTCTCTCAGCATCCCCAATTCTTTTTCTATTTTTCCAAAGAAGTCTCAGCAAGGATCTGTTTTGCACATTTATTTCATTTTCCCTGGACCTTCACATCTTTAAATCATACATAATTTGCTCTTTGAATTATATTCAACGCATATGCTCCCTTGAGCAAACCCATACCTTTGCACCTGGAAACAAAACACAGAAGTAATAAGGCTCTTTTTGTCTTATATGCTATCAACACAGCAAAGTGGTAGCTCTTTAAACACATGATGATATGAAATTATTGATGGACAAAGATTAAATTTAAAAGGTTATTACAATACATAATTCACAAAATTATTAAAGGAATTGTTCAGTTATGAATCCATGTAAGAACTGTGGGTTTCTAAAGCCAACTTTCAGTGCAGTTGCAGTATCTTTATTTCTCATGTGCTAACTTAGTTTCTGTCAATGAAACTTCCATGGACCTGATAAACATCCAGTTCTATCTTCTGATGGCAAAAATGTTTTCCTCTCACAGTTTCATGTCATTTTTCCAGGTGTTTCCTCTCTTTAAAATTTAGTTAAACTGTATTCTGTTTATGTTAAGAAAATAATAAAAAAACTGTAGTTAAATAACAGCTTGTGTTCATCTAGTTTTTGCAGATTTTTGTTATTGTTTTTTTAAAGATATTATAATTTTTACATGGGCTTTAAAAAAAAGAAATAAAAATGTGCAATAGGCTGTCAGGATATGTTATTGTATGATATGAAACACTACATTCTAACATTGTTGTCTGGATGGTATAAATTGGTGTCCTCCAACACAGCTGTTGGATCCAATAGCCTTCTTGGCCCCTTCCAACTCTAGTATTCTATAATTGTATGAAATATCTATTGAAATGGGATGTACTGATTTTTTCATTTTTAAATAACAATTATATGACTCATATAAATATGGACCACTAGATAACTAAAGTGTAATGTCATTTTGAAGATTCTTAGGGCCACTTTGTACATGGATTGATGTATCTGATTGATGTGAAATGACACATTTCTATGACAAACGCAATGCCACGTGGATGAGGAATGCATTTATGGTGATTTACATAATCCTCTTCCATTCCATTTTATCCCCATAACAACATTCCATTTTATCCCCATAACAACAACCCTGTGAGGTAGGTTAGACTGAGAGTCAGTGACTGGCTCAAAGTCCCCCAGTGACCTTCATGGCTGACTGCAAACTGGAACTTGCATCTTCTGAGTCCCAGGCCAATACTTAGAGAACCAAAATCCTAGATTAAATGTTGCCTATCCCGAATCTTTATCCAAGAATGTAACATGTATTTATATCAACACCTGAACATTGTACAGAAACTACCTAAAAGCTTCCTCTAGGCCCCTAGCCCAATCCTTGTTTTCCTATTTTTAACCTTTTATGTGATTTCACCTTCTACATGGAGGTGCTTTAGCCTGTATAAATATATGTATGTAACTTGAAAGCACTCACCAGTCCCGTCTTCTAAGAAGGAAATCTCAGTATTTGCAATGTCTAAAGTTCCATTTTGTAAGCAATATCACCAACTAATAGGATCAATGACTTAAGTATATAATCAATGAAAAATTTGTGGTTCCAATTAAGACCTTAACAAAAGAGCCTTTGCTGTTTCTGGAGATACAATAAAGAACTCAAAAGCAAATACTGTTGTCAGATCTACAATACCTTGTGTCTTAATCGTACAAGAGGCTGATAGGGTCTGAAGTCATATCCTTCTTTTGCAGGCCAGCCTTCTGCACCCAATAAAATGCATCCAAGGAAAGAAACCAGTGTCCACCACAGAAGCATGTTTTGAAGACCTTCTCCCTACATAATAAGAAAGGAAAGTGTTACTGACAGAACAAAATATAGCATTGTTCTCTAAAAGTTCTGCATAAACAGAAACAATACTTGAATAATCAGTAATCAGAATCCATATTTTATTATAACTAGAAAAAGACAAACTGAAACAAAATCATTAAATTAAAATAGGTAATGCATTCCAAAAGAAAACACTGTTTGAAATATAACAACAGCAGAGAAGGTTTGTTAATAGCATATTGCCCCTTCATTTCTTTTTTTCTTTTTCATGAACACAGTGCTCTCTGGTACTCCGATCACATTATTAAAAAGTAAAGCTATCAAAAACTGAATACATTAACTGTATGCTCAATGAAGAAAAGGAAGTAACAGCACCCATCCAAGCAAGTTTTTGCTGTGGCACGGAGCTCATTTCCATAGCACAACAAGCTGCCAATCCAAGTCTTGGCAGAGCAATGCTCTTCCCAAAACATAGAAGTAAAGGGTGCTGAGACAAAAAAGGATGCCTCTCCATTAAAAATAGTCAGAAAGAGAATTTGCAGTGTTTCGCTTTGCTTTGCTTTGCTTTGTGCCTACTTCTCTATTCTGGCAGGCAATGAAATGGCCACATGCGCCGGCAAGACAGGAACTCCGTTTAACAACCAGGATGTGTGTGCTTCCCATTAGAACAGAGGGGTTCATTTGGCAAATTATTTCCTTTGTGGGAAATTATTTCATTTGTGGTTCACTAGGTGATTGTTGCTTGGCTTGTTGCTATGAGGAAGCAGCCCTAACATTCAAGCCAATTAGCATATTGGAGCTTTGAACAGGTAGAGAAATATGAAAGGCCACCCAGATAGAGTAGGCAGGTTCGGAGGTCCTTGGAGCTCCTAGAAAGTTTGTTTCCATGTTGAAACATACACATTCTGAAAACTTGATGTAACACTAGGAATAAAACAAATTAAAAGTAAATTTCCTATGACTCTGAAAGCAAGCCATACTGTGCATAAACAGTCTTTCAAAATACTCTTGGGGCTGTTCACCTAATTTTCCCAGGGCAAAAAGAAATTCTCCAACAATTTTTGGGGGTAGGGCTTGCTATTAGGAATATCTTCCTTTTTCAGATTTTGTTTTGTTTAGCAGCAACTGTGTTGATGGTCATTTTGGATCTTCCACATTTTTCCATGCCTAGCGTTCTTCTGAGGCATCATACAGACAGGCATAGTGTAGAATTTCAGCTGCTACAAAAGAATGGAGGATGTTGAAAGTAATTCTGCAAATAGGTCCTTATTTTTCTGGTTGGTTAGGATTTTTTTTGCCAGAAAAATATCTTCTGGGAAAAGAAAAAAAGCTCCAGCTTTTACATTGTCTGAAAAGCACCCACACTGCCCATTTTCAAGAATGTTGTAGCAGCATAGATAGAAGAAAGAAAGCACAACAATGCAGTATTATGCAATGTAACAACATATACTGAGTTGTTTAACATGCTTTTAGTTTGTATTGAAATTCTTTTCAGACTGTCTTTTTAAGATTGGATTATGGATGGGCAACACTGAGATTTGCTTACCCTTGAGAGACTGATGTACCTTACCAACTCAAGAACTGAAAAAAGGCTGAGTTTTGGAAATGGGTGGGTTTCAGTTTCTGCTTTTAAAGAGAATTGAGGCTTGGGGGGTTAGGGCAGGAAAATGTGTAAATTTGTACAGCTTTAACTTCCACAAATTTGCAGCTGTATTTGACACTAGTTTCTCTGCCCCATCCCTTGCAGAACTAAATATATAGGCCAGAATCTTAGAGGACAAGCCAAATAAATCCACTGGATTTTGATCCCCTGAGTAAATTCCTTGAATATTTCTAGCTGGAATCTTCCCAAGACAGTATATAAGCAACAATGCAAAACAATAATATTAAAAACAACTATTTAAAATGAAACCAGAAGTCCCAAAACAGTTATTTCTTTAGAGCTCTTCTGAAAATCTGCAGAACTCTTGAAGAACCCAAAATGGAAGTTCACCACAAGCTGCAGGGCACTATTTTGTTATTTATTTAAAAATATTTGTATACCACCTGTCATGTAAAACATTTCTAAGTACTATAGAAAAATAAACCTATAATATAAATGTCAGAAATAAATAAGTAGCATAATGAAAACATCTTAAAACATAATCAACAGCCATAAAAACATGAAAAATGACAAGCATCACTAATCATAAAATGCCAGGGGAAATAACAACAACAACAATAAAAAGTATTTTGCATGGATGCAAACTGCATCAGAGTTGGTACACTTGTGGAAGGTTATGAGGAAAACCACTGCCTGAACCTACATTCCATCTGTTTAAATACCAGATCTGTTTAAATTAACATTTAACAATGTTGATAGTTCAGGGCCTAAGGAACTCATTGCCCCTACAGCTCAAAATTTTGTGAATAAGCAGGGGCAGGAATGGAGCTGTGAATCTCAGCTCCAGGGTTAGGCCACAGTCTCCAGACACAAGAACATCTGGTCCATCTTATGGTCCCTCATAAAAGGTTGAGGGCCCATAAGTTCATTCCCTAACTTGGAAAGTACCAGGGGCAGAAGTGCTTTTCCTGTGCTATGGGTGAAGGACCAGCTGAAAAGAGTAGAAAGTAGATGTCTGCATATCAGTATTCCCTTCAGTAAACAACATACGTTAATATTTAATCCTGTCTCTTATCTGGATGCCAATCCATAAGACTGTTTAAGCCTCTTCTACCAAGCTATTCAGAGATCTTGAAGGATTCCAAGATGATTGATGATAAATTGTGTCCATTGTATAGAATTGGCAAGCATGATGGTGTAAAACCACTTGATTGTCTGTCAGGTAGATCATGGGTTTTGGAAATTGGTGGGTTGCAGTTTCTGCTTTCTGCTTCCTGAGAACTAGGGTAACCATATAGGGTTGCTAGTTGTGTTATGTGAATGCAGCCACCAACTCTCAAGCTACCTCACAGGGGGGCTGTGAGGATAAAGTAGAAAAGAGGGCAGCCTTGTAAACCACTCTGGGTTCCTGGCAAGAGGGGAAAACTGAACATAAATGTAATAGTAAGAAATAAAATAATAAAATACATTTTAAAAGAAATTAATCTACAGTCATTTCCTTATTTTCTGACATATTTTATCTTAAAAATATTAAAAAGACAAGCAAGGAAAGAAGATCACAGTATCTTTCTACACTGCTTTAAAACCTTCCACTACAGCAAACAAGCAGGCTGACAAAAGTTTTTTGGTAGCTTCCTTTAATTAAAAGGTGTCTTAATGAGCTTTTACATCTGTGCATATAGACAACTATTTGCATAGATAATTGACAGCTTGTTAACAACACAACATTGGCAAACATACAAGACAGAGAAAACGGGTTGACCAGAGAATGTTTCCAAGTGTACTGAGGTGTCATTGGTACAGTTTACATTACAATTCTCTCTCTCTCTCCCTGCCATGTGTGTGTGCATGTGAGCTGTAATTATGTGTTGCTCTTAACTCATGTAGAGATCATAGTATTTCTTCTTTCTTCTGATGCGGAACAGTTATTATGTCCATTATATATTGCTAATTTGAGTGGGCTGGCCAAAACGGTTTGCTTTGTGCTTAATTGTTTTCAGGCTTTGTATAACCTTACAGCAGTGTGTAAGATACAGCTGTAACCCGCCCACCCCCCACCGCCCCGCTTTGCAGGCTGTTGATTATTTATTTATTCATTTTTCAATTTAGAAACTGTGCCTATAGCTCTATATAGGGCTTTCTGGGCAGCGTACATTTCCACTAAAAAAAAACAATAAATAAATAAACTCCATAAAATAACACAACATTAAACTAAAGATTATATATATTCATCAGTTAAAATTCACAATAAATATATATAAACCAATAGCAATTGGTTTATATACCAATTATTAGCATATCTGGCAAATAGATATGCTAATAAACCAATTATTAGCATATCTGGCAAATAGAACAGATGCCACCTGACTCTGATACACGAGTAAATAAGGGTCCAGGCAAACTTCCTATTCCAAAAATGGGAATTCATCACAGATTATTGCATTTATAAAGGTCAAATGCAACACTAACTCTGAAATGATTTTCCTTGTTCCAAGGGAAAACTATGATAGGTGAGTAGAGGCTTTAAGTTCACCTAATAACAAGAGCACCAAGGTGCAAGCAGGAGGAAGGAAACTTGTATAATTGTTTCACACTGAGTAGTATAGTAGTATGGTTTGCCCTAATGGAGTAGGATACACTCCCAACTTCCAGGCCATTAGCTCGCAAGGTGTAAAAGAAATACAGGCTTCATAAGCAAAATTTGCCATCAACTAACAACTCAGCTGTTAATCTTCACATACAGTGTTATATAACTGGGAGGAAATTTTTCTTATTCCTCTTTCTCTCCTGCCCACTTGTGACTCTGTTTGCTTGAGGAGCTTCTTGAATTGCTCTGAAAATGATCAGAAACCATGCAGAGAATAAGCATCCACAAATGCCCCCATGAGTTTCACATTGTACTTTGCTTTCCCATTTTTGAAGTAGGCAGCTCATACATATGAAATACAGATTTTATCAGTACACTGAGGAATTATAAGAAACGCAACAGAATGCATCTGGTTCCTGGATGGAGCATTGATATTTTAGTTCTCTTATTGAGCCTAACACTAGATCACTTTGTAAAAAAAGAAGATTCCTAAGTTACTCCTGAGACCACCAGGACTTTCCCTCCAATTTCTCAAATGTGTAATTTTGGCATTTAAATACCCAGAGAAGACTGAGAGATAAATTGTCCAGGGTTCCTAGAAAGAAAGAGATTGTGACATAGTGATCTCTTAAGAAAAATGAACTTTTCTGTTCAAGTACAATCTTCATGGCTTCTTCTAGTTTTGATTTACTGATGATTGTGAATTTGGGTATCCCCATGTTTGGCAGAATGCCACCTTTTGTGAATTTGGCCTGTTTCTAAATCATATTTGACATATTGCACAATTAAGGCAGATGC